TTAGGGTTTAGGGCTTTAGTGGTTTAGGGGTTTAGGGTTTAGGGGTTTAGGGTTTAGGGTTTAGGGTTTAAGGTTTAAGGTTTAGGGTGTAGGTTTAGGGTTTATATCGGGTTTTATCCAAAACCGACAACCCCCAAGCTTGAAGAACAAAAGTGGGGGGTTTCCGAGAATAGTATATAGTACCCCAAATAGCAGGACCCTTCTTATTATAAGGCCCCCCCCCAAATAAAGTACCCCTTATTTTCAGAGACCCCCGAATCTGAACCACGACCTTAGGGTTTAGGGTTTAGGGTTTAGAGCAACCAACTTGTCCTAGTCGGTCTCTTGCCACTCAGGTGCCACGGCTGGAGCGGATGCCTGCCGGAAGCGCTAAGGCAGTGCTGAGAGAGTATCTATGGGCCATGGGCCCCATAGTAGTTCCACTATGGGGCGTATGGGTAGGAACAGTGTAGCATCTGGGTGTAGCTTTTTTGCTTGCGATGGCCGGGCACGGGTTCAAGCTTGCAATGGTGACTGACTTGGGCCTAAAACCACTTAAACGCAGAAACCCCTAAACCCTGAATCCTTTACCCGAAATCCCGAAATCCTTATCCCTGAACCCCCAAACCCTTAAACCTTAAATCCAACACCTAAACCTACCCACACAGCACCCTGCGGTCGAGGCCCTGCGTCTGCACACGAAGGGCTTCGACGGGGACCGCCTGGGTGTTTCGAGTGTCGGGTTGTCAGCGAATCGGTGGCGCCGGAGTTGTTAGGTTCCAGGTGTTTAAGGTGAGGGTTTAGGGTTTAGGGTTTAGGGTTTAGGTTTAGGATTTAAGGATTAGGGTTCAGGTTTTGCGTCTATAAGCTTTTAATAACAGCATGCTTCAGGTGTAATTATCTGGGTTGTGGAGCTTGGCTTGACGATGCAATTTGAGGCTGCTCGCCCGGTAAAGTGGTGTTCCAAGTCCCGGTCTTTGGTTTTTGGGGCCCCCTCAGCAGCCACTTGGACCGGAGGTTTTCGTCTCGACACAGTGTCTCTCAAGACTCCACCTTTGGAGCAGTTTAGGTTTAGGGTTTAGGGTTTTACTTTTGTTTGGTATGGCCAGTAGAAACACGGACGGGACGCGGACGAGGGTAGGGACCTTGCCAACCCTAACCCTACGGGTCCATGTACCTGTACAGTACCAGAATCTCCCATAGCAAAAGCTGTGACATTTTAGGTATAGGGATGGCCTGATCCTGACACCCTCAACCTCTTTCTTCAATTCTAGTTCCTCTCCATGTAAAACCGCGAGATCAGACTTCCGTGTGGGTTTAGGGTTTAGGGTTTTAAGGTTTAGGGTTTAGGGTTTAGGGGTTGAGGGTTTAGGGTTGGAGGGTGTAGGGTCAAGGGTTTGTGTTGGTTGGTTTCGGGTTTATGGGCTACTTCTTTTTCAACCGCCTGTGCCTGAATCTTTCGCTGGCACACCATCCTGCTGGTGAAGCTTGAACCTTCGAAATCAGATGGAAAGCAAGAAGGTCATGTGCAGGAGAGTTTTGTTCCCAGCATCCTGGCAGATGTTAACAGCTCCATGCGGAAAAAGGCAGCTCTAAACAGGTACAATGCAGAATACGGCTTGACAGGTGTTCCGACAGCATCTTGTTACCTGCGTACGATGTCCCCCAAAATCTCATAAAACCTTAGTAGCAAGCCCATGTCATGTATTTAATGGAAGCCTTTACAGGAGCCCTTCAAGGTGAAGACAGGGCCTTGACATGCAGATCTTCCAAAACCCCTCAATTCAGGAATGCACCTTCAACTCATATTAGGGATCCCTCTTAGAATTCAAGCCTCAACCCTATAGATCCGAAAGAACACTTAAGGAACCCTTGAAAGGAACATTGGACCCTAAACCCTAAACCCTGAACCCTAAACCCTAAACCCCAAAACCTAAACCCTAAACCCTAAACCCTAAACCCCAAAACCTAAACCCTAACCCTAAACCCTAAACCCTAAACCCTAAACCTTAAGGAAGGAATGATGTTGGACGGCCTGGGTAATGCAGGAGCCTGCGAAGCTGCTGCTGACGGGAGCCACCGGCGGCCTAGGAAAGCGACATGCCGGCAAGCTGTGAGTTCCCAGGGAGCCCAATACCCCTTAAATAGGGAATATTGCTTAACTCGGAAAATGAAGCCCCTTATAATTTAAGCTATATTCCTTCTCTAAGGGGTTATTGGGCCTTATAAGTTAAGCTATATTCCCTATTTAAGGGGTATTGGTCTCTCTGGGTGCAGGGTTGGTTCAGGGTTTGTGGCTTAGCGAGTTTAAGGTCAGGGCTTCGGGTTTACAGGGTTTTGGGTTCAGGGTTATGCTGGGGTTTAGGCGTTTAGGGCTTCGGGTTATTTTGGCGCTTAGGCTTTAGGGGTTTAGGGTTTCCGGGGTTTACGGTTTGGGGTTTAGGGATTTGGTGGGTGAAGGGTTGGAGTGTATGGATGAAGGATTTTAGGTAGAGAATAGGGTACAGGTTTTGCGATTTGGGCGGGTGGCGGGAGGTTTGAGGGGAAGTTGAGAGCCCTAAACACCCTAATATAGGGGCCCTAATAATTGCCACTACTGTATTGGGGGTTCCTGATTATAATTATAGTATCATGGGCCCCCCCCAAAAATTATTCTAATTATTAAGACCGTTATACCCCAAACCCGTATAGTAGCCCTTGTAGAACTCTTTAAGGAACCCTTTAAAGGAGCCCCCAAACCCTACTCTAATTATTAAGGCCCCTACACTAACCCTAAACCTCGATATCCAAAACCATACATTTCTAAACAGTACCCTAAGGGTCCAAAGGACCCAACAATTGGATACTTAGGTTTATGTAGGTTACTATTTGGGAGAGTATATGGTTATTTAGTACTTGGACCCTTAGAGGTAGGGTGTACTCCCAGGATCATGGGGCTTAGTAACTGAGGCTATAAATAAGGTAACTGTACTTATAACTCTTTATAACCCCACCTATAGCCGCTACCTACTTACTAAGTCCCAAGATCCTCCAAGTAGGTCACGCCATAATTCCTGGATTTAGTCACCCGTTCGGTGTGTGGGGTTTTGGACCTCGAGCCCCAAAACCCTGAATTCTGAAGCTCACAAGACAGGAACACGCAGAGATCGGATCCCCTAAGCCCTAAACCCTAAGCCCTAAGCCCTAAACCCTAAACCCTAAACCCTAAACTCTAAGCCGAAACCATCGACTGCCCTAGACTCTGAAACGGTTCAGAGTCCAGGGTTTCAAGTTGCAAGCCCCAAAACTCACAGTTGAGGGTGTGGGTTTAGGCCGTAAGGCTTTATTATTTCTTTCTATTACGGTTTAGGGTTTAGGGTTTATTATAAACCCTCAACCCTTACGTAAGCCTAAGCCCGTGTTTTTTGTTCACTGTTGGGTCTGTCATGTCTGACTCCCAGCCTGTCATTTCACCGAGGGCCGTGGTGTCCTGGCTTATGAAGGAGCAGGTCGGTCCGAGCAGCTTCCATGCTTTCCGGGGTTGAATAGGGTTTAGGGTTTAGGGTTAAGGGTTTAGGGTTTAGGGTTGAAGTCTCTACTTGAAAATGTCGGGTCTTGGTCGGTTTAGTCTACTTGGCAATTTCGGGTCTTGGTTGTATGTAGGGTACTTTGCAACACCACAATACACTCCTTCAAGCAAGATTCTTGGGGCTTTGGGTTCCGGGTTTAGTAAAGTGGGTTGTGGTACTTGAAGGTACCGCGTCAAGGTGTTGTGGTCCTGCTGTGGTTACAGGCATGCACCTGGTTCGCAAATGTTCTACACTTTGCTGCATTGCACAAGCGAAGTGTTTAATGTCAGTCTCGTGGAGTATGGCTTCTATGGAAGGAAGGAGTCAAACCCGAATTGTTGCGTCAGCCTCGCGCCTGGAGACCATAGTGATAGGTGGTAAAGGGATGTAGAAATTCGGGTTCAGGGCCTTAGATTTGATTAAAAAGGTATAAGGACATAAGGTGAGAGTTTCGAACCTCTTTGTTCGCAGCTGCTGAAGAGTAGGAACTTGATCTACGACGAATGCCGTGACCGCTGCCCCAGCTTGATGAGCTATGTGCACGCAGCTATTGCCCTCCGCCGCTTGCAGATAGTTGAGACCAGGAGTAAAGGCACGGCGCCTGGCTCGCAATTATCTCGTCTCCAAGAAGTCGGCCGGGTTGTGGATCTCAGCCAGCTGAAGTCCTTGAGCAAGAAGTGTCAGCGGCTTCTTCCAGGGACCTTTTTCTTGCAGGCGTCATGACAGAGAACGAGATCGCAATCGGCAGTGCTTTCAGTGCCTTCGACATTTCCTTGTGGCAAGACGAGAAACACGATGATTCCGCGTTGCCCCTTTGGCGGCATTGTCAGGAATATACATCTTTGCGATTCCATTGGACATGGCGTCTAAACACTGATTCCTAAGTTTTCGGGGTTTCAAGACTATCCCCTAAACCCTAAACCCTGAACGTGCACGCGCTGATTCCTTAGAAGGATTACCGGAGCCTTGAACCCTGATTCCCTAAAACTGTCTGTTGCTTAGTAGGGAATGGGGGAATGGGTTATAGGGACTGCTATAAGGGACCTTAAGGGATTATCATAGGGATCCATTCCCCCATTCCCTACTAAGCACCAGACAGAAAAGCTGAAAGCCGGCCCAAAAGCTCAGGGTCTGGGGGTTCGCATGGGGGTTCGCAGTTCAAGGTGAGCTTCTAGGGTTTAGGGTTGAGGGAAGTCTAGCTTAAGGATGAGGCTTTAGGGTTAAGACTCTACACACAAAACCATAACCTTAACGTCCTGAACTCCTAAACCCCCATATTCCTAGAACCCCTAAGTAAAACCCCGAAACCCCGACCCCGGAGCCCTGAACCCTTCTCTCGAACAGGGATTCCTAACCCCAAACCTTATTTGGGACTCCAATTATCTACAATTTTATGGGTTCTACCTACAAATTAAGGGGTAGTGGCTGCTAAACTGTAGGCAAAGAGAGTTACAGGTAAGCCCTAAACACGACTTGGGGGGTCGGGGGACTCAGTAAGTAGGTAGTAACTACCTCAAAAGGGACTCTAATTGGGGTTCTGATACTTAGAAGTCCATAAAATAACTACTTACTAAGTCTCCCGACTCTCCAAGCAAACACCAGAGTTCAGGACTTGAAGAGATGATTGGCTAGAATGGAGGAAGTCTAAGCCCTCGTTGAACTCTTACGGGATCCCTTAACTTAGTTCTCAAATACCCAACCTTTAAACTTTTGGGTTCTTATAACTTAGTAGTAGACTGAAAGGTTAACCTTTTTTTTTCTGGCTTATTGGGGAAGTAAGTAAACCCTAAACCCTAAACCCCTAAAGGAACCCTTGACACGCAATCTGGATGGTCCAGAGCTTGGAACACCCTAAACCCTAAACCCTAAACCCTAAGCTTGGAACAGGGATTCCAGCCTGAGCAGCTGCTGCTCTTGCGCCGGGCGGGCTCCAGCCGAAGTCTCGGGAGACGAACTCAATGCGCACAGTGAGGGGTGGTTTAGGGTTTAGGGTTTAGTGTATGATAGGTTGAGGGTTTGGGGTTTAGGGGCCTATGGGGTTTAGGGTTTTAGGGTTTTGGGGGGTTTTAGGGGGTTTGGGGGCTTATGGGTTTAGGGTTTTAGGGTTTGGGGGTTTTAGGGGTTTAGGGGCTTATGGGGTTTAGGGTTTTAGGGTTTTAGGGTTTTTAGGGTTTTTAGGGGTTTTAGGGGTTTAGGGTTTTAGGGCTTTGGGGTTTTAGGGGGTTTAGGGTCTTATGGGGTTTTAGGGTTTAGGGTTTTGGGGGTTTGGGGTTTGCCGATTTCAAGCTTGGGGCTGCGGTTGCATAAGCGGAGCAATGTAGAGGCTTAGACCCTACCCCTCCTTTAGGGTACCTAGTTTTATGAACTGAGCCCTCTTAAGGTGTACTTGGTTATCGGGATTGCAGGCTTGGGGGTGCAGGGTTTTGCCCTAAACTCTAACCCTAAAGTCTGGACCCCAACGCCTAACCTCCAAACTCTAAGCACCCAAAGCCCGGGTTTGGGAAGCCTGACGCCTTGAGCCCTACCAGCCGTGAGCCCTAGTGCTGCCCTGCATCCCCTTGGACCCAAATCCTGTTCATCCTGCACACGAAAATCCTGGTTTAGGGTTTAGGGTTTAACCCTAAACCCTAAACCCTAAACCCTAAACCCTAAACCCTTTAGGGCAACCAAACCCCACAAGTCCTACACCTCAAAGCCGCAGAAACGAAGTGCTGATAGAACCTGTTCGGCTTAGGCAAGCTTGAGGGGGAGCTTGCGCGTTGCACCGTGGTAGAGGCATGCCATGTGCCTCGAAGGGCTTTGGAGTTTCGGATAACCCTAAATCCTAAACCCAAAGCCCTGAACCCTAAACCCCTAAACCCGAAATCCTAAACCCTAAACTTTCCCTAAACCCTAAATCCTAAACCCTAAGCTTTCCCTGCCCCCTAAATCCTGCATGGTCTTCAGGGCTTCTATGGCACAAAGAGCTTTGCAAGCGCTTTGCATTCGGTGGTTTTACGGAGGTCCTACAGGGTTTTCGGGAGTTGTGGGTTTAGGGTTTGGGGTTGTGGGTTGTATACTTGGAGGGTCGGGGGACTTAGTAAGTGGTTACTCCAAAGACTTATAAGTACCACAACCCCAGTTAGAGTCCCTTTTAGGTTACCTAAAAGTCTACTTATTACCTACTTACTAAGTCCCCCGACCCTCCAAGTAGAGGTCCAACTCTCCAGCTGCTGGTTTTCGCACCCGTCCGGTTTCGTTTGGGCACAGTTCTGAACATACTGTTGGTGGACAAAAGTCTGCATGACCCAAATATAGTGTAGTACCATAAATCCCATAGTTTAGGTATATAGGGTCATGCAGGATTTTGTCCATCAGCCGTATGTTGCACTTTGGAAGGGTGCACGGTCCTACAACCCTGAACCCCAAAGCTACTTCTTTGCCAATTTCAGAGTTCTCGAAAAAGTTGAGGCGTGCACCTAAGTACTTTATGACCCTCAACGTAAGGACTCGTAAGGACGCATAGGACGCCTGCAAGACGGATGCCAACGGCCCTAAATAGGGTTTAGGGTTCAGGGTTAAACCCTCAAAATCCCAAACCCTACTGTAGCTGACGGAACCCCACATACATGTGCACAGTATGATGATGACGGTTACTATTGCCTTTTTGCGGCCTCTGAGTATGACTGTTAAGCATAATATGGGGGATGATATTTTCAAGGATGATGATCGTGATTTTGGGGGATTCTCAGTGTCATAGGTTGATTTGGTATCAGCAGTGCCGTTGTTTTTATTGCTATATTGAAACTACCATTCCTACTGATTCCTACTACTACTACTACTACTACTACTACTACTACTACTCCTACTCCTACTCCTACTGCCACTGCTACTGCTACTGCTACTGCTACTGCTACTGCTACT